TAAAGTGAAATGCAACACTTGTCTCTGAGAAAATGGCATCACAAGTCAGTATCTCGTGTGTGTACGCCATGTACATTGATAACTGCCTTGCAACGACGATACATGGATGGATGAGGCGGTTGATGAAGGTCATAGGCACTTGGGCCCACACTCTGAGGAACGCCTGACGCAGTTCAGCTGCAGTTGTCGGCCTTGGTCGGACGTAATTCAGCCGTCTTTGAATCTCGCCCCACAGGTTCTCAATGGGACTTAAATCGGGACTGAGGTCAGGTCACTGCATGGTTCCGATGCTATTCTGCTGGGGGAAGTCTCTTGTTATCATGCTGAAACTCGTGGTTGCGGCGACGTGCCAAATGAGGTATGGCGGAGGCCTCAAGACTTGATCCATGTACCGACCTGCTGTGACACCATTGCCTCCCCCTGGACCGATGTTCTGGGAGACCACAGGGCCGACCCTCTGTGCAAGATCAATTCCACCCCACACTATGATGCTCGGACCACCAAACAAGTCTTTCTCAACAACACAAGCATCCGAATAACGTTCCCCACGGCGTCGCCAGACTCTCTCTCTCTGCCATCTGCTGTTGAGATACAGTAACAGTTCTCGTCTGTGAAGATGACTCTTCTCCACTGCTGATGGCACCATCTGTAGTGTTGGTGGTCTGGTACCGTTGCTGGAGCCTGTATTTGGCCCTTACGTGGACTTGAAATGCATTGGCTACTTGCCGAGCGGTTTGTCGAGCTTGCAATTGTCCATGGGCTTGGTGTCACTGATTTCTTGTCACTCTTGGCAAGTGGTAGCAATTCAATAACGAAATAATGTTATCCGATCAAGGCCGTTGCCGTGGTGCGTTTGGGCGATCGGTTTTATTGTAATTTGCTTTGTTTTGTTGTCATCAAATTTAATTTTTAAAATTTTAGAAACTTTGACAAAAATTACCCAGATATTTAAATGACAACTTTTCATGCAATGTTACTTTGGGCGACGTTTCTTTATCGGTTCAGTATTTATCCAAGGAAGAAAGGAGTACTTAATCGCTTACCATCTTTTCATTTTGCGTTTTAAAATAGGGCCTGGGACTACAGGGAGGCATTTGTGCGTATACACTAACACCCCCGTTATAAAATATACAATGGGCTATGACTAAATCAATGATTTGTCGACACAATTGTTTCGAAAAAAACGTTTTGTTCAGCGTCATTAATCTTGACAAGGCACCTTAGTCCATGGTTGTGCCTAAAATACAATCTGCCCCACCTTCCTAGTTATGACGCCCCTTTTACTCCAAGATTTCCATCACATAATCATCTCATTTTCAAACTACGTACTGTTCGTCCGTATACAATATTATTAATTCTGATGGTCATCAACGTCCTGTAGGTATCATTAACGTCCGACCCGAGAAGATCCGGAATAGAAGTGATCTTCAGCAACCCATGCTTGTCGCAAGAGGCGACTAACAGGATCGGGTGGTCGACTTGGTTCATGCATGTCAGCTTATCCCTTTTGCGTAGATTGATGCTCATGATGTCAATTACTTGATTGTCTAGTCCAGACTCGACTATTTACAGACCGCTACCACATAGCTGGAATATTGCTGAGTGATGAGTAAAACAACAATCAAATAAACAAAACAAACAAACAAACAAACACATACCAACGTCCGTTTTCCCCATCTGTAACTTTGATTGTATTTACTTATTTATATGAACATGTAAATACATACACATATATAAAAATAAATGCTTTGGCTGCATCATTATTTATAAGCTGTAATGTGATGCGTTTCGTAATTGTGCTAGAATTCAGTGATCATAGGCCTGCATTCATGATTATGGATATTTGTTTGTAAACACCATGCTCGTGCTCGTTGTTTCATGTTTAAGACCTGCATCACTTCGGGCTTTCCTCACACATCAACCTTGACACACTGAAACGCGGCATTAAAGATACGTGTCAGGGATTGTGTGCAGTGGATATTACATCCATCATTGAAGGAGGGAATATTAATACTAACGCACCACGTTCCAATATCTTACATGCAAAGGAGAGATTAAAATCGCGATTCGGACATAGGCTAGGGCCAGTATATTGGGTTATGTTTTTTAGATAGAGTTACGCAAACAAATTTAAGACGTTAAGACCTTCATCTGTATTCCTCCATCATCTAAACTTAGGAAGTGACAGGACCCGTGAAGATAAGGGGCAGAATAGGTCTTCAGCAACCCATGCTTGCTTGTAAAAGGCGACAATGCTTGTCGTAAGAGGCGACTAACAGGATCGGGTGGTCAGGCTCGCTGACTCGTTTGATGCATGTCATCGTATCTCAATTGCGTTGATCGAGGCGCATGATGTCAATCACGGGATTGTCTGGTCTAGACTCGATTATTTGCAGACCGCCGTCATATAGCCGGATTATTGCTGAGTGCGGCGTTAAACAACAAACAAACAAAGGAAGTGACAGTCTCCGTAGCATACAGGAAAATGGTCAGCTAGTCTTCTTCAGACTTAACGTCACTCGTAAACACATTTGTCTTAATTGAATTGAAATATGAAATATGTCGAGATAAGTAAAGCGCAAGTTCACAATACCGTCGCTAATTTAATCAGAAAATGATATCATCCACAATAGCTCGAATAGATATAAATGCGGACGACAGTCAGTGAAATCATGGCTCTGTGGCTGACTAATCAGCTCATGTTGATTCACTAAGACTTGTGGTATAGTGTGGATTTGCCGTGTACACAGTGATACCTCTACTTATCAATTTGTTCCCCTAATTTAGCTGGTTAAAACACCGCATGAAACGCCTTGATTGAGGCAGCTGAGAGTAGAGACTGCAAATGTGTGTTGATCTAACATATGCGTGTAACTTCCCGTTTGTCTGTTGTATTGCAGTCGCTGTGTTCCAATTCACTTTGCATCCACATGAGCCACTGCACACAATAGCGTCAACTTTAATTATCGCTGTTGTATCATAGCAACAATTTACTCTGATATCGGATTGCACCTTGCGTGGCTCGTTCATATTGTCCTGGCAAGTTTCAATTGGGTCATTCAAGTACTGCTTTGTTTGATTGGCAATTGTATTATGTATATCGATCTATCGGTAAACAAAGTCCCATATGTACACACGAAGGATGAATTATATCTAAACCTCTAAACATTTCTTCTTGCATATATAGTCCCCTAAAATAACCTGAACCTTTCAGTTCTTACTTTCTAATTTTAATAAAACAAACAAACTTGTATTGCCTTAATTCATTGAATTGAACCCAGAAAATCCATGTACGTTCAGTCAAAGATTGAAGACATTTGCTGTTTGTCAAACTAAATTGACAGGCAAATGATAGTATACACCCATGTTTCATGGGGGCTAAAATGAAACAAAAATAATGGTTATTCCATGGTGATGTATTTGATGCGGTACCATAGACGATGGATCATATCAATGAGTATCCCACAACAGGTGAAGTGCACATGACGTGTCAATGAACATAGGGGTCGCAATTTCACAGTACACAGTATTGAGCAGAGTGAAGTGTGGGCTTCAAGCATGTCAAGTGTAAACTTTATTGTGTCCAGCAGTTTATCATAGGCTTGCATTGGATTTGGGAATATTTCTGTTTCAGGACCCGTTTGTCAGACTAGTTTCCTTGTGTGAAACGAAAAACGTATTCACAGTGTGCGTCATCTTTCAGGGTGTATGTTGTACATCTACCAGGGATGTATTATGATAATTTATGTGGCTAGTAGAGAGATGGAACATGCAAGCAGCCTGACAACGTCATCGTCTTAAAAGAAACGTTGCAGGATATTGAACCTGAATTTCCCTTTTAGCAGCCATGTCCATGGTTAACCGATAGCTGTTTAGCAGCCATGCATCCTGTCATCCCTTATAATGCCGCGGTATCTCGCCGTATAGCGAGGTGGCTGTGTATGCACAATATCATTAAACATAATCGGATTTCATTTTAGTAGAGGCCTTGTATAGGTTGTCAAAGCTCAGGTGATGTAGTTCAATGTATATGTTGGGAGTGTTTGTCTTAAGTTCGATTAATAGAGGATTCATTGTAGTAGGATGACCAGGTAAGATGTATCGTGGTCTAGTGATAGAGCGTCTGCCCTGAGAGCGGAAGGTCGGGGGTTCGATACCCGGCCGCGTCATACCAAAAGACGTTAAAAGTTGGTACTTGTTGTTACCCTGCCTGGCGCTAGGCATTAAGAGGCTTAAACAAGGACTGGTCGGCTCGGAGTCGGTATACTGTGTCTGAGTGGGGTATTCATGTTAAACTGTGGCATTGTATCTCAGTGGGCTAGAACTGTAAAATCGGCAATAATCTTGACGCGACGTTAAATCCCATTTGACCTCACCTCGTGACTAATTGGAACATGGAGGTGGACTTAGAATTGTTAATACTATCATTTAGATTAACAATCAAATGTTATAACTTAGACAGGCGTTCATATCTTTGTCTATGTAACAATTTCACTTTAAGTTATCTCTTTTCGTATGACTTCATTTTGCAAGTTAGACAGGCGTACCTATCTTTGTCTATGTAACAATTTCACTTTAAGTTATCTCTTTTCGTAAGACTTCATTTCTTTCTAAAATTAAACACAAACTATTGATATTTGCGGGTCAGCAAATCTGACAACATATCATTGTTCTCGATACTGTAACCAGAAAATGTATTCGTATTGTTCTCCTTGTACTCAGACAACTGTGGGATAGTCATAACGTCATTTTGAATGCACAAACGTCATAAAACGAACGATGACGTCTTAAACAGATTTCAACGTCTTATTATCAAGAATTATCAAGAAATGTATTATTATCTTCTTTTAAAGTTTCAACCTTTTATGAACGTTTCATCCAGTCATAATGCCTCGCACGTGCCCATCTGTTTTACAATATGTATATGTGGTTGTTTTCATCAGAATAGCTGAGGTGCCGAATGTGAGGCTTTCGTTGAAACTCTGCCTTTACATTTTCAGATAATTCAAGATGGTGGCAGGATGTGGTGCCAACTGCATGAAGTATACGCTCTTCTTCTTCAACATCCTCTTCTTTGTAAGTATGACACTGTGGAGATGCGAGCGACGTCAATACATTATGTTCTTATGGAAAAAGGGTAATATAAGGGGATAATTTTGCATGTTCCAATGTTCAGCTAGACACACTGATAATCCTTGCTGAAGTTAGAATATGGCCGAGGAAGATAAAGATAATGACATGAATGGATCCCTGAAAATCATTGAATGAGAGTGTGAGTGAGTTGGGTTTAACTCCGCTTTGAATAGTTATTCCAGTTATATCATGGCGTGTCAGCTTGATGTGGAAGGAAAGCCCGAAGTGATACAGGACTAAGTCTTTGATGTTACTCACGGCCTCGGAGGACACTAAATGACTGTCAAGAATGTGAAGTATAACATTTTGTGAGCGTCCCTGTGAGTGAATCTCAGAATTGGCCTCTCCTCCCTCTGACATGTGCGAGACGTACACCAATCTCTATATATTAGGATGTTTCAATCAGATGCAATACCAGTCCGCTCGGGGATTATGGGGACACGTCCGTGGGAGGTAGCGTCAGCTGAACTTTGTGATCAACAAATCGGCGTCAAGGCTTCCAACCATTCAGACCAGCATATATGGGTTATATATATCGAAAACAATATCTAAAATGACAAGCTCCGAATGTAGACGATGAAGGAAGCGCTATTATATAACTCATATATGTTGTTGTGGGTATATGAAACAAACCGAAGTTTCTGACTGTCGTAGGTGTACTATCAGTGGTATATTTGTGTTCCGGGGCCATTTTCTTTTGCTGAGATCGACATTTTACGAATTAAGGTGGTAAGGAAATTGAACCGAATAATTATAGAAAGCTGACGTCTGATCTCAAGAACCAACGATACCTCCAATTTGACTGGGCAGCCAATGTTAGCTCAGGGTTCATTTCACACTTGTCTGGGGGTGTCCTTGGATCTTCACGCATGGAGGTATCGTATTGGAGTCAAAGTTTTGATTTTAGTAAGGACGGTCGGACACAATTGTTGAACCACTTTGCAAGCTGATGCACCTAACGCTAGAAATGTATTGTCCCCAGAGCACATTGCGCCTTCAATATTTTGGGGAGATTTTTTATATTAATTCCATGACGAGTTGAACTTTTTCCTTTGTTTATTATTAACAGGAAAGAATCAAGAAGAACACTTTGAAGTTTTTACGAAGTAAATAATAAATTCCACAAAGCCGATTATGCCAAATAATATGCAGCTTTGGCTAATATCACGGCAAGGGGGCCAGATTATGTATACTATCTTCGAGACGGGACAAAGGATGGCGTCATCCCGTCAGCTCATCTTATCAATTTGGAACACTTTGGAACTAAACCACATTGTTGTTACAGGCGTCCCCCCTTGGTTCATCCCTTGTCATCACTTGTCACCCCGTTGGTTGTTGTTGTAAATCTCTGTTTATATGTAATCTTAGTTTAATGACTCTGTCCTACCCAGTTGCTGATCACTTAATAAACACACTGGCACCTGTACCGAAACGTCGCATTAAAAAATCAACCCTGTCTTGATACTACAGCTTAAACTACCACTTAAAAGTAAGCTCCTCTAAACTTAATTGTCACTAAGGATAAAGTGCAATGTTCCTTTCAGTTGTCGGGGGTGGTGCTGGCGGCTATCGGCGGTTACACGATGTTCTCAGCGGATGCATGGGCAGCAAGCTTGGAGCAGAACGATGGGTCAGGTGCAGCTCTGGGCCTAATCAAGCTGATAGCGATTGTGTTCATCGTCGCAGGGTTCCTACTCATGGCCATCTGCTTTTTCGGCTGCTGTGGAGCTATTAAAGAAGTCAAATGCATGTTGGGAACGGTAAGTGTAATTGGAAATATCAAGTACTTTTTGGAATATGCCAGCCATAGATACAGTAAACTACGTTTATCACGAACACGCTTATGACGAAATGACTGCTATCACGAAATAGGTTTTTGGTCGCAGCCATTTGGAATATATATGCTGTATATTTGCTAATAAAGAACTACCATTCTACACTTAAATTATTGGTCTCCTTGAGCCCGTTGTAACCGTAGTTTACTGTATACGGAATACGTCGCAGTACGTTTTATTAGGTTCACAAGGACAAATGTTTATGAATGGAATATATAGACTGTGAAAGGATAAATCGACATGCCTTTGAGTATCCCCGTCAAAACAGTAATTTCTTTGCTCGTGTATCTCCCTCCCTGAGGTGATTCCTGGGACCCCTTCCACAACACGATTCTAAGATGATGGAAGCACCCATACTTTAGCATAGACTTACGGCGGTCGTAGCTCCAAGATCGCTTTGCGGAAAGGGAGCCGGAGCATAAGGTCCAGTTCAAGGAACAAACTAATGACAATTAGGTGGACACAGCGTATGTACCAGCTGATTCTGAGTCTACTACAACGTCATGAATCGTTGCTAATGCTGACACTCACCGTTGTTTTCTTGACAACGACTCGAATATTTTCAGACCGCCTTGAGATAGGTTGAACATTATAGACAACGATGTTATGTTGACGTCAGAGCCGTAAATGTCTCGACGACTTCCGTTTCATATCCAGCTGATCGAGAGGCCTGTTCAACTTCTGCCGGGCACACCAAAGGGAAGCAACTGTTTACAATAATTAAGCCTGTTGAAGGCTGCCATGGCTTGGCTGTAAAATGATTCAGCAGGGACAATAAAATACAAAGTCGTGGAAAAATAGGTACCAAATTGTTTAGATAACTACATAACATGAGAACTAATTGTTTCCATGGAAGAAAATTTATGGATGTCATCTTTATTATGAGGCACGCAGCGTTTCGGAGTATATACTTACTTGATGAAGGAGTAAGAACATACTCCGAAACATCTAAGATGCCATTCATAGGACTTGTTTGTTTCCAAATCACCACAACTGTACCACGGCTGCATATTTTGTATTAATATATTTTTTCTTACTTTGTTATTGCTACGCATAGGGCACTTACATGTAAACGGGAGTGTAGACAATAAAATGACGAGATAGACAAAGATGACCGTGAATGATGCCCCAAATGATGTCCGATGCAATTCCGTATTTTGACTTTTGGTGCACCATAACTTCCTCACACTAACCATGAATAATGTTCCTGTATGTTTTCAGGTGAATATTTAACGTGCGTTTGATTGTGTTTGAGATGGGTGTCACCGGTAGGGCAGGATATGCTTTTACCTCTGACCACTGGTATCATCGCTATTTGACAGTGATTATTAGCAAATTGTTATGATAGGATCGGAATCTGATTTTGGCAGATATTTCTTATGAATATGGAAATGGTTTTGTCGCCTTTTTTACACTGCTTCTGCTATGGTTGTCTTCCAGTATGCTGTTCTCATCGGCATTGTGATCATTGCTGAGTTGGTTGTGGCCATCAGGATTGGCATGTACAAAGGAGCGGTAAGTGGAATCAGTGAGTGATTGATTGAGTAAGTTAGGTTTAGCGGAGCTTCTGAACAGAATTGTTGTTATTTCACAGCGTTTCAACCTAATGTCTAGGGAAATCCTTAATTTATACAGATCTTAAACACTAACCCACAAGCAAAACTAGAAACATGACCAGGGCAAACGAGGATTCGAACACAGGACCATTAGCTTCTGAAGGAGATTAGGCATCCCATGCTCTGTCGACACGTTGAGCGTGCCATTATATTAAAGATTTAGAACGAAACCTCTTTGGTTCGGCCTTGCGCATGCTAGTTGCCACGAACGTCTACACATACGAGAAATAACATTATTCTGTGAACATCTACATATATGTGAAGTAACATTATTCTGTGAACATCTACATATATGTGAAGTAACATTATTCTGTGAACATCTACATATATGTCACGTACATTATTCTGTGAAGATGTACATATTTGTGAAGGAATTTTATTTGGTGAGCATCTACATATATGTGAAGTAATATTATTCTGTGAAGATCTACATATATGTGAAGGAATTTTATTTGGTGAGCATCTACATATATGTGAAGTAATATTATTCTGTGAACATCTACATATATGTGAAGTAACATTATTCTGTGAACATCTACATATATGTGAAGTAACATTATTCTGTGAACATCTACATATATGTGAAGTAACATTATTCTGTGAACATCTACATATATGTCACGTACATTATTCTGTGAACATCTACATATATGTGAAGGATTGGTAGTTGGTGAGCATCTACATATATGTGAAGGAACATTATTTTGTGAACATGTACATATATGAGAAGTAACATTATTCTGTGAACATCTACATATATGTGAAGTAACATTATTCTGTGAACATCTACATATATGTCACGTACATTATTCTGTGAACATCTACATATATGTGAAGTAACATTATTCTGTGAACATCTACATATATGTCACGTACATTATTCTGTGAACATCTACATATATGTGAAGGAATGGTATTTGGTGAGCATCTACATATATGTGAAGGAACATTATTTTGTGAACATGTACATATATGTGAAGTTACATTATTCTGTGAACATCTACATATATGTGAAGTAACATTATTCTGTGAACATCTACATATATGTCACGTACATTATTCTGTGAAGATCTACATATATGTGAAGGAATTTTATTTGGTGAGCATCTACATATATGTGAAGTAATATTATTCTGTGAACATCTACATATATGTGAAGTAACATTATTCTGTGAACATCTACATATATGTGAAGTAACATTATTCTGTGAACATCTACATATATGTGAAGTAACATTATTCTGTGAACATCTACATATATGTCACGTACATTATTCTGTGAACATCTACATATATGTGAAGGAATGGTATTTGGTGAGCATCTACATATATGTGAAGGAACATTATTTTGTGAACATGTACATATATGTGAAGTAACATTATTCTGTGAACATCTACATATATGTGAAGTAACATTATTCTGTGAACATCTACATATATGTCACGTGCATTATTCTGTGAAGATCTACATATATGTGAAGGAATTTTATTTGGTGAGCATCTACATATATGTGAAGGAACATTATTTTGTGAACATGTACATATATGGGAAGTAAAAACAATCCCGTGAACATCAGCATATATGTCAAGTACATTATTCTGTGAACATCCACATATAAATTATGTGAAGTAACAAAATCCTGTGAACATCTACATATATGTGAAGTACCACTATTCTGTGCAAATCCACATATACGTCATGTACCTTATTCTGTAACGATGATTCTGTAATTTGAAAATGTGTTATCGGAGGATTTTATTGGGAATGCTTCCACAAGGATTTGACTAGATCCTCTGTATATACTTGTGTGCAGATGTTATTGAATGTTACATACATTAATATACGTAGACGATAGTGAGTACATCAGCCATGAGAATAAAGTTCATTAATTCAAGTATATCAGTAAGTATACATAATAAAATATTTTATATAATATTAGTTGCCATAAATGTGTTTATAATGTACATATACTGTTTTTGTATCCTTAAGTTATGTGAGGGACCGAACATTTAATATTGTGGGATGGGGTCCGGTGGGGTGGGAGGGAGACAGAATATATTGTCAGTCACTGCTTCACTCCGAAAGGGGACAATAAATACGTTTTCAACATTTTATTTCACAACACATTTGTTTTCGGACATCCATGTCCAGCTGCCAATTTATTTTGTTGGACGTTGGGCATAGTTATTGTTTTCCTGTATTTTGAAGAACAGAAAATGTATGTTTTTAAATGGTCAAATGGTCGGTCCCTTGATATGTATGTCTCTCACAGTTGGATTCCCTCTTGGAAGCTTCAAAAGAAGGAAGTCGTATTCGTGTCCGATCGTACGGCAGTGACAGCGACAGTGACAGATCCTGGGACAAACTGCAGCAATCGGTACGACATGTAGACATTCAACTTTGAACCATTACAGTTTCTGCATTGACGTAATTTATGCCTTTGAGGTAAACGTAATTATGCCAACGTAAATACATGATAGCTAGAGTACCACATGTAACGACACCCGTGGAGATCAGGGTTAGAATTGGTCTTCAGCAACCCATGCTTGTCGTAAGAGGCAACTAACGAGATTGCTTGTCCAGGCTCGTTGATTTGGTTCATGCATGTCATCGTAACACAGTTGCGTAGATCGATGCTCATGATCTCATTCATTGGATTGTCTGGCCCATACTCAATCATTTACAGGTCGCCGTCATTTAGCTGGAATATTGCTGAATGCGGCGTTAAACAAACAAACAAACAAACCTGTAGCAATCGGATAGATGCAGGAATCACATGAATGTCTGCTGTAGTCGAGTATCACCTCTACCGATCGAGTAAGCTAGTATCAATACCTAGGACGGTGGCGTAGCTAGCATCTATACCGACCAGGTAGAAGCACGGATCACATTAATAACTGTCGTGGTAACGGGCAAGCTGTAGCTATGCGATGCATCCATAGTATTCATATAACAACGTACCATCGTTTATTGCATAGACTCAATGCTGCGGTGCTGACTATTGGACTGACTTCAAGAAAGATGCCAGTGAGTGGAAAAAAAACAACGACGAAAGTTACGAAGTCCCCGTGTCTTGCTGCAGAATGAAAGACCCCTCCTCCAGCATAACCACAAGCAACCTCGCTGATCCAATGTGCCCCACTCGTCCTACACGCTTGAATTCATACATAGGCACGGTACGAACTAAACTTAAGTGACTAATATTGTTCAGCTGTTGTTTGAAACTTGCAAATAAAAGTGACAAAGCCCTTTCAAGAAAGACAATTCTATACATGATATTAATATCTACTGCTGTTTTGTGTTTGTACCATGTTTTCTTTACCTTTCCTAGGCTTGTAATGACAACGGTGGTCCTTTAACTGGCTTATTCCGGGTATTCTTCTTCAGTATAATCGGCGTTATACTTGGACTGATGGCAATCGAGGTTAGTTGCACTTTAATCATATTCCTACTGCTGTCACTGTCATATAGAACTTTTCCTAACCTGTCACAGCAACACAGAGCTTTCTTACTCCTATCATTTTCACATTGATCGATTATTATTCCTATCACTGTCCCAAAGAGCTTTTCCTACGCTTTCCTTTTGTCAGCTCTGTGATATAGATTCAATCCCTGTTTCTAACTCTGTCACACAGAGCTACTCCTATCCCTACCACTGCCCCCTAGAGCCATCCCTACTTCCGTGACATAGAGCTTTTCCTTCCCATGTCACTGGGCTGTCCCTGTTCCTACCCCCTAGCCCCCATGGCTGTCCCATAGAGCTGTTCCTTCTCCTTTCCCAGTCACACAGAGCTTTTCCAACTCCTGTCCCTGTCACATAGAGCCTTTCCTACTCCTGTCACACAGAGCTGTTCCTACACTTGTCCCTGTCACACAGAGCTGTTCCTACGCTTGTCCCAGTCACACAGAGCTGTTCCTACTCCTGTCACGCTTAGCTGTTCCTACCCCTGTCCCTGTCACGAGTAGCTGTTCCTACTCCTGTCCCAGACACACAGAGCTGTCCCTACACCCCTCCCTGTCACACAGAGCTGTTACTACTGCTGTCACGCGGACCTGTTCCTACCCCTGTCCCTGTAACAGATCGCTGAGCCTGCTCCTGTCCCTGTCAAAGATAGCTGTTCCTACTCCTGTCCCAGTGACACAGAGCTGTTTCTTCTCCTGTCCCTGTCACAGATAGCTGTTCCTACTCCTGTCCCAGTCACACAGAGCTGTTTCTACTCCCGTCCCTGTCACAGATAGCACTTCCTACTCCTGTCCCAGTCACACAGAGCTGTTTCTTCTCCTGTCCCTGTCACATATAGCTGTTGCTAGTCCTGTAGAGCTGTTCCCACTTCTCCGACAGTGCTTGTCATCTTTATACGACTGGGTGAACGTATAAATTCTGCTCTACTGGTTGTACTTGCCATGGGTATCTGTGTAATCATTCGGAACATTAATGGAAAGCGGAACGGAGCAATTGGCCGTCTGTGCAAGTTTTACAATATCCTTGGTTCAGGTTGGCATTAAGTACATTGCCAAGAGAAGACAGGGTTCTAGACAGTGGAAAGAATCTCTAGTTATAGGAGTCAGAAGACCATGTTTTATTATTAGTGTGTGAATGCGAATTATAGTTTACTGTATCATTTTCTTACACTGCAGCTTGTTGGCATCGTCTTCGCCATTTGCCTCATCCGATTCATCGGAGACCCACGAGCAGTACCGGTGTAGATTGGAAGACGAGGTCCAGCCGGTCATCGTCCCGGTCGCATGTCAAGATCACATGATACAACTGAACCTTTGCACAGTTGGTCAATTGTGGGTGGGATGACGTGTGAATCTGGAAAATATTACAGTGTGTATCATCACTTCGAGATACCAGACAACATTGAAAATTCGAGGCTAATTACCCAGGCACACAAGGTCTTTTTTTTGCTAGTTTCATAAACCGACTGAAGTATCTGGTTTACCCATACAATTAACTTCCACTACTACATTAGGACGTGTACGTGTATGAATACTGTTAGATCGTGTTTAATGATTTTCTTCGCGTTTATGTCAGCGGCATTATTTTGAAGAACTGAAAGCACAAGTATGGCATATAAGTGTACATACTTACATATGTATGGGTGTGTGCATGTGCATGTTTATGTGCATGTTTCAATAGTCCATATCGTAATGTTCATTATAAGTTATTGTGTGCCATCTAGTCTAGTCTTACGGATTTTTTTACAATGACTATTATCTATCCAGTTACTAATAAATATTGCTCAAATTCGTAAATATTGGCGTAGTTTTCGACTACAGGATAATATTATACAATTAATACTTTATTTATCTCAAACAGGATTTGTTGTACATCACTATTCACGTAGCTGAACTGTAACGCTCTGTGTTCGTTGTAAAGTCCGTGTTGGTATGTTGACATCAAAACTATGTAAATGTAATATTTTCGAGAATTATTTTTATGTCATTCTTGTTATTTCGATTAGTATTATATTTCAGAAGGTGGCCTTAGATGATTATCAAACTCAGGATATCAAAATAGTTCGGAAAGCCTTTCATCTTTCATCTTTTTGTACATGCAGCACATTTGTTGGATGCCCTCTATGCAAGTACTTCATAATTTTCTCAAAATTAATGAGAAAAGTTCAGTAAATTCGTACTGTAAACATCTTGTGTTGGAAATAATAGTTAAAAGAATGCTTGGAAATTATGTCACACCCGTCTTCTCATAACGGCTCCGACCAAACCATCAACCTAAACAACAGTCAAGGAGTTAGTTGTAAGCGTTCCCAGCTGATTAGATGCTCGTATCGGTAATTGTGTTCAGCTGCAACATTCAACCTCCTCCAGGATAAATTAGACAAGTTCAACCATATGTATTCTACAGAAATGTATACAGACTGTTTGACAAAGGCAGGCACATACCCTAAGAATGTGTACTTTGAAAACTTACAATGAAATACTTTTGTTTCAGCTAATATTTGTTATACTTATTTCGTATTAAGGTCACATGTTAATATACACGAATAAATGACAGTGGAGATCATGATATATTAATTTTTTCATTCACTATACATGAAAACATTTTTACCTGAATGAATATTTGCCACACCTACATGTATTCCCATCAGTTTCAGTAAGGATAAAGTATGTTTTATCTTTCATTTGCGGTTTATGTTTTCTTCTGCATGAATAAAAATTTCCAGTCTACTGGTCTTATGTCAAAGACGTCAAAACCTTTACGGTGTATAGTCTTAATCCCTGTCAACTGAAACCTATCAAATAGAAGCCTAAAGAAATTTGAAAGCGGTATTCGTGTTCTGTATTAATTTACACAGGCCATGAAATGATGCATGCGTAGTTCTGACCTTCCCTTTTCCAACTTTACCCGCTCTAGACAAATGGGTGTGAGGGAGGTTACATCAACTATAATGAGATAATGTCTGACATCAAAATAACACTATTCCCCGATACAATGGGTTAGAAGAACTGTTTCTGTCTGGCAGTGGTGACACTATGTTGGGTAAGGTTCACTGTAAGCTTGAATGTGTTCGCTGTAGTGTTGGACACTTTCATTTTCACCCGCTCAAAATTACAGTGTAATATTCGAAACATGTGCGGTGGGGATAAAGGTAAAACGTCAACGCCATAGAATGCCCAGTCTCGTTATCCGATGAAACATATTACAATGGGCATAACAGGCAAATTAGCAGTGAAAATTATATGAATGGATCACTGACAAATCCGATTTGAGTAAAATGTTTGTTTCGAGAAATCGGGGCCAGGTGTTTGCAAAGGGATACGCATGTCCAGCCCTACCGGTATCACCCGCCACTGACACAATTTGCATATAAAAGTAAATGTTTGTTTGCTGAGAACACTTGCCTGTAGTATATGCAGTTTTGTAAATTGATAAGGATATTGTAGTGACACCACGTTATGTTTGACACTGTATATGTACACATGCACAACCTTTGAGCACGAATTTTCAAATCATGTATTAAAACATCTCTGATTGTTATCAGTGCCTTAATTCACGAGACTGTAATCAAATGGTAGGCTATTTTGTGGATGAAGAACTGTTTGAGTATAACAAAAGCTAATAAACAGAATCAGATTTGTTGCACAAATGGCAATACTTTCAGGTAAATGTGCACATGACGCTGGCGTTACTACTTACACATGGATGTTTTGCATATGTGTACACTACAATATTTATTGATTTAAAAAAATAATATTTTCAGTATTATATCCGATAATTATATCAAACTGAACGGTTCATAAGAACGCTAATACTACAAGTAAGTCTGATACGTTAGGCATACTATACCATGTTTGCTATGTTGTATTGTACGGTATTGACAGAGAGATTGTTTTTCTAGTCAAAAAGGGGACGAATTATGGTGGATTACAGTGTTTTCCCTCTGTGTGTACCTCATACTGCCAGTCCTCTCTGGAACCCCGCTACGTCATTCCTGCCTAGCCTGGTAACGTTCTGTCAATCCCGTCTGGTGCCCTTGTATGCCAGTCTGGTAATCCAGGTGTATCATCAATCCATTATCAGGTGCTCTTTATTACATTAATTTGACCGTATGCCGACTTTTTAACCGTTTATACTTCTATCATTTTATTATGTATTTTTAGATGAGGTTTAGTGTCGTCCCATAATGCCGGGTTTTATTTGTTTTACCGTAGGTAATGGCAACACAAACCAATACAGTTAGCTAATAAACTATAAGATCATAGATAGATAGAATTGTCTAGACTCTATGTACTGTCCAATGTGTGCTGTGCGTGTCCTTGCAAAGTGATAACAAACTTTATGGAGATGTACTAAATAATGGCATTTCATCTTAAAATACTATTAGCTGCATAAGTATTATATGGTACAAACTATAACATCTTGAAGTGTTTTGGTTTATGGTTCATAATGTCTGTTAGAAGAATGCTCGAAGGTTTAACTTCCGGTCTGTATTTTTCAATTCCATTTTTGTAAGGATTTTATACATTGTGTGTTAGCTTGCTTTATTAACTGTATATTAGAATAAAGCTTTCATGGTATGATGCTCTCATTATTGGTTGTATATTGATCTCCACTTCTTTGCTTTACTCACTGGATGACAGTAAGTTCGTGTAAGGTACCCAACGAGTTAATGCTGCTGAACGAAACTTTCGCTTTGTATAGCTATTTGAAGCTTGCATGTACATACACTTGGAATGATACCAGCGAATATCCGCTCAAAATCACAGTCTTATATTCGTAACGTGTGCCGTAGGGATTAAATATATAACGTACAGAGAATACCAAGTCTCGATTATCCGATGAAACATATGCCATTGGGCATAAAAGGCAAAATATCAGTAAAGATCCGGGTTAGAATACATGAAGGGCGAACACTTTAACAACTCAACTGTTCTATTGCAATGTTTAGGGAACTTTATTTAATAAATACATGTATTTGCTTGTTTGTTGTTTAACGCCACGCTCCGCAATATTCCAGCTATGCGATGACGGTCTGTAATTTAGTATGTGTAATTTAGTATGTGTACAAAACGTTACAAGATTAATAGTACTTTTATCGATTTTTCTGTCAGACTAGACAAGTGAACTGAAAACAAGAATAATGCGACAAAAGATTCCACAAATAAATGAGTGTGTTGAATTGTATGCAAATGAATACATGTGCATGGATACTACTGAAAATTGCCAGTACCATAAAACACCAGGGGACCTCCAGCTTCACCTTCTGCAAGGATGTACAAATTGCATATTTACGATTTATGCTTAATATTTCAAATATATATCTTCGCGTGTGTGTAGAGATTATTGAAGGATTGGCTGTTTGAGTACTGTTGTATATGGTCAAGGCAAGGTGTGAAATGGGTAATTTCGTGAAATGCTTCAGGAATGATGGATCCATTCACGCATTTCATGAAATACCTAAACATTTCAACCTGAGGAAATTTTACGAAAAGAATGTCTTCGCAACTTCCCTCTCACATACATACATAGTGAGATACTGTGAAATTAGGAAAGGGTATACATGTCTATAATACATAGAGACGGAATAGGTAGCCAAGCTATATCAAGCGGCTTATCAATAAATACGTCTTGGTCAAGCAAACCAGCGGCTGATTGGGTAATGATCAAAACTCTCAGGTATCAATGACACATTATCAGCATTCGTCATATAAATCAGGTCTTACAAAACGAATGGTGTTCTAGGAATATATTCGTCGCATGGGTCCACATGGGTGAATGATATTTCACTACTTTGTTATCGTTTTCACACTCATATTGAGGGTATAACTCGAACGTCTTAGCAATGATCCATACTGTCGGGATACGTCTGCACACAATCAGATGGGTCAGATGTACACCAGGAACGTTGATCGCCCTGGTGTACCGCATCCGAGTAACGTTCCTACTCAGCAGTTTTCGATGAAGTTACACCATGCATGTGGAAGCGTGAAACACAACACTAGTTACAGTTATATACATATTTATTCATCAAGCAATCCTAGAGTGGACATTTTATTGAAGCCCTAAACTTTGACGATTAACGACAAATACCATGGTGATTCAAGCTTTGTTTGTTTGTTTGTTGTTTAACCCCGCACTCAGCAATATTCCAGCTATATGACGGCGGTTTGTAAACAATCGAGTCTTGACCAGACAATGCAGTGCTTGATATCATGAGCATCGATCCACGCAATTGGGATACGATGACATGCACTAACCAAGTCAGCGAGTCTGACCACCCGTCGCCTCACACGACAAGCATAGTCGCTTTTTACGGCAAGAATGGGTTGGATATGGGTGGTCCACATGAAGAGTGTAGATCATATGGTGGTAAATGTAGACCACATGGACAGTGTAGAGCAGATGAACAGTGCATTATTAACAGTGTAGGGGAATTGAAAAGAGACGGGGAATGTACAGTGTAGAGGAATGTACAGAGTAGGGGAATGGACAGTGTAGGGGAATGTACAGTGTAGAGGAATGTACAGTGTAGTGAATGCACACTGTAGGGGAATGTACAGTGTAGGGGAATGTACAGTGTAGGGTATTGTACAGTGTAGTGAATGCACAGTGTAGTGGAATGCACAGTGTAGGGGAATGTACAGTGTAGTGGAATGTACAGTGTAGAGGAATTTACGGTGTAGTGGAATGTACAGTGTAGGGGAATGTACAGTGTAGTGGAATGCACAGTGTAGTGGAATGTACAGTGTAGGGTAGTGCACAATGTAGTGGAATGTACAGTGTATTGGAATGTACAGTGCAGTGGAATGCACAGTGTAGTGTGATGTATAGTGTAGTGGAATGTACAGTGTAGTGGAATGTACCAAGTAGGGAAGTGTACAATGTAGTGGAATGCACAGCGAGTGGAATGTACGGTGTAGGGAAATGTACAGTGTAGTGGAATGCACAGTGTAGTGGAATGTACAGTGTAAAGAATGCACAGTGTAGTGGAATGTACCTTGCAGGGGAATGTACAGTGTAAGTAAAATGTACAGTGTTGGGGAATGTTCAGAGAAAGAGAATGCTCAGTATAGAGGAATATTCTGTGTAGGGAAATGTACAGTGTAGGGGAATGTACAGTGTAGGGAAATGTAGAGTGTAGGGGAATACAAAGCGTAGGGGAATGTACGGTGTAGGGGGATGTACAATGTAGGGAAATGTACAGTGCAGGGGAATGTACAATGTAGGGAAATGTACCATGTAGGGTAATGTACAGTGTATGGGAATGTACAATGTAGGGAAATGTACAATGTAGTGGAATGTACCATGTAGGGTAATGTACAGTGTAGGGGAATGTACAATGTAGGGGAATGTACAGTGTAGGGGAATGTACAATGTAGGGAAATGTACAATGTAGTGGAATGTACCATGTAGGGTAATGTACAGTGTAGGGGAATGTACAATGTAGGGGAATGTACAGTGTAGTGGAATGTACAGTGTAGGGGAATGTACAATGTAGGGAAATGTACAATGTAGGGGAATGTACAGTGTAGGGGACTGTACAATATAGGGGAATGTACAGTGTAGGGGAATGTACAATGTACAGGAATGTACAGTGTAGTGGAATGTACAATATAGGGGAATGTACAGTGTAGGGAAATGTACAATGTAGGGGAATGTACAGTGTAGTGGAATGCACAGAGTAGGGGAATGTACAGTGTAGGGGAATGTACAATATAGGGGAATGTACAGTGTAGGGAAATGTACAATGCAGGGGAATGTACAGTGTAGTGGAATGCACAGAGTAGGGGAATGTACAGTGTAGAGGAATGTACAGTGTAGGGGAATCTACAGTGTAGAGAAATGTACATAGTAGGGGAATGTACAGTGTAGTGAAATGCACAGTGTAGGGAAATGTACAATGTAGGGGAATGTACCTTGCAGGGGAATGTACAGTGTAGGGGAATGTACAGTGTAGTGAATGTACAGTGTAGTGGAATGCACAGTTTAGTGGAATGTACGGTGTAGGGAATGCACAGTGTAGTGGAATGTACAGTGTAGTGGAATGTACAATGTAGGGGAATGTACAGTGTAGGGAAATGTACAATGTAGGGGAATGTACAGTGTAGTGGAATGCACAGTGTAGGGGAATCTACAGTGTAGAGGAATGTACATAGTAGGGGAATGTACAGTGTATTGGAATGCACAGTGTAGGGGAATGTACAGTGTAGGGGAATGTACAGTGTAGGGGAATGTTCAGTGCAGGGGAAAGTACAGTGTAGGGGAATGTACAGTGTAGGGGAATGTACAGTGTAGGGGAATGTACAGTGTAGTGGAATGTACGGTGTAGGGAATGCACAGTGTAGTCGAATGTACAGTGTAGTGGAATGTACAATGTAGGGGAATGTACAGTGTAGGGGAATGTACAGTGTAGGGGAATGTTCAGTGCAGGGGAAAGTACAGTGTAGGGGAATGTACAGTGTAGGGGAATGTACAGTGTAGGGGAATGTACAGTGTAGTGGAATGTACGGTGTAGGGAATGCACAGTGTAGTGGAATGTACAGTGTAGTGGAATGTACAATGTAGGGGAATGTACAGTGTAGGGGAATGTACAATGTAGTGAAATGTACAGTGTAGAGGAATGTACGGTGTGGGTAAATGTACAATGTGGGTAAAGGCACAGTGTAGTGGAATGTACAATATGGGTAAATGTACAGTGTGGGTAAATATACAGTATAATGAACAGTGTAGCCCACAGGTAGAGTACAGTGACATTTGTCTTCTATTGGACCACCTCGTAGATGGCATCACTTGCCCCACGGTACTCATGTTGGTCGTTTGCTGTTACATATTTCTGCCTTGGAACGTAGTAGTCATTCACCGCCACTACCTCAGCAATATCTTCGTAGTCCTCCACGCCGACATCTGGATACCCATCCGTGGTTGTGGTGGTCGTGGTTCTGGTACCAGCAGTGTACGCCACCGAACCGTCCACAGCGGACAAGTACAGTCCCTGTTGTCGGAGTCTCCACACCAGCTTCCTGGGGAGTGATAAAACCACAAAATTCATGTATCAGTATTAACCAATCCATGAAACAACAATGATGATCTGACTGGAAATAACACAAATAGCAGGTTGGTACGCCAGTAAATGTGAGACTTACATTTACACTTTTCCTTGAACCTTATATCCATTACACAGCCCTGGCACTTTCGCTAATAAAGGAAGCAGCTGAGAACATTTACATCACTCTTGAAGTTTCAGGACCTCAAATTGTTTTATATACTGGCGGAAAAGCGTTCAATTATATGAAGTTCAACAAAAATGACATATTCTGAAACTGACTGATGCATCTTTCAAAGCATATCCGTGAAGACATCGCCTCAACTTTAAGGACGTGGTTTACAATTTACACTTGCATGTTCATGTACAGCGCACCATTAGCATGTTTTCGTGTTTGTTCGGAGCACATGTGGGTTTTTAATGTGAACAGCACACAATGATTGTTTAGCTGTCAGGTACTAATGAAAGCACTTTTCGTTGACAGTAAATAACGCTTAAGCAATGCCGTGGGCATGTTGCAAACAGGAAGGTGACAGA